CAGAGGGTTCCACTGAGAAACAGGACAGAACATCTTGATGTCCCTTTACTGTCCAGCTCTCAGGTGCCTGCCTGGAGGGCTCCCAGACTCCAGGTCTCACTTCAGAAGTTTGGGAGTGTTGATTCTGGTTGCCTGGCGCTGTGTCAGAGAACTCTGGCTCTGGCTGTCTGGTGATAAGCCTAAGTGGTAGACTTGGAAGGGGTCCCATTCTTTTTCACCTTCAGCAGCTTTCTGGGGAGTTGGCTGCTGCCAGGGCTGAGGCAGACGGATGGTTTGACATCCAGCACCAAGTGTTTCTCTGGCACTGTTCCACATCCTATATCATGCTCAGCACAAAAGAACCTTGGAGTTTACTAAGCCCCTATCCACAGCTGGCTTCACCACAGGCTCTGGGGTCAGTGCTCCTGTCGTGACAGCAAGTTTTGTTTAGAGCCTTACCTGAGAACATGACTGCACTGTTCAGCTCCTGAAGACATTCTGCATCGTGGTGGCTGGTCAGGTTTTGCCTCGTCTTAGCTCCTTATAAATGCCAATGTTGGCACTTCCCTTGTGCCACATCACCAAGGCTCAGCCTTCAGTAATTTGCCATTTTCCCTTCAGGGAATCTGAGGCGCCTGCACAGAAGTGTTTAGAAGAAGTTGTAGGTTCCTTGTGGACCTAGATCAGTGGTCTCCACAGTGCAATGTACAAGACTATCTTTTTTTTTTTTTTTTACAACTAATATTTTAAATTTTTTCTATTTTCTTATATTTTAATATTTAATATTTTTTCAGTTAATAAATTTTTTAAAAATTATATTATGTTTATTTCATCCTTATCCTTTGCAAATGTCTATTTTTGTGTATGTTTTATAAAGTACATAATGGATTAGTACATGAAGATAATGTATAGATAAATATACACACATTGGCATGCACACTTAAGATTTTTTTACTCATGGAGACTTGGAGACTGCTGATCTAGATGTTCAGAGAAGGATGGGGATGATGGCCGTGGTACAAAGATCTTCCACAATTTGAATCCTAAAGACTGATATGAACCTTTCAACAGGGAATATGACATAAAGACATACAATAATGTAAAAACCCAGTGTGATGCTGCTGGGAAGCTCCCTGTGTTGTCATGTAGGTGCATGAACTCTTCCTCACACCCACTGGGGTATACTTTAGCCTTATGTAAATCCACAACTGCTGTGTAATTAAATAACATGATTAATCCTGCCTTCTCTGCCTGGTTCCTGTGTCTCACTGCTGGGTCCAGCCTTGTTCCCTGTATCTATCTGCTCTCATGGAGCATCTAGGCCTAGTTTGGACAGTCAGGCAACCACAAGTCCTGGAACATCCATGCCCAGAAAGGGGACAAACGCAGCTGGTTCCACCCACGGGCTGGTGTCCTGTTTTCAGCTGTAATTAGTAAATACAGCCACAGTCTGATCATTCAGAACTTTAATTTATATTTATTATGGTTTCATACCCGTGGCCCAGGGCTTCAGCAGACTCATTTATAGTGCCACCATCATGGCTCTGCCTTCGCAGGACATGGAATGGGCTGAATACAGAAAAGTGGTGTCAGTTTTCACACTATCAGGTCTCTGATTGGCACCTGCCATCTGATCTTTCTCTGAGGCAAAGAACACAGCCAGGTCTCGGCAGATTTCCTCACACAGTGCAGACATCATGTACCTGTTGCCAGAGTTATGTGCTGCCAAATTTCCAGCCGTCTTTCCAAATTAAGATGTTAGAGCTTTCCTTACCTATGATAAGTCATTAAAGATCGCTCAATTACCCTTGCATTGAGCCTTTTTTTTAAACTCAAGCTTACTTTACTGAAAGGCATCCTGTCTTGATTTGGAGATATTAAAAGATGAAGAATCCTCGTTCCTTTGATAAGGCAGGGGTTTTAATGTCTAATCATTCTCACTATAAAACTGTGCCTGATTTCTAATTTAAGCTGGTCTGGCTTCAGCTTCCAGCAATTGGTTCTTGTTATGCCTTTCTTGGCTGGATTAAAGAGCCCTCTAGGACCTGGTATTTTCTCCCTTTGAAGGTACTTATACATCGTAATCAAGCTATCTCTTGATCTTTTTAATAAACTAAACAGATTGAGCTCCTTAAGCCTCTCGTTCCGAGGCAGCTATTCCAGTCCTCAAATAATTTTTATGACTCTGCACTGTCTCCAATTTTCCTGTGTCCTTTTAAAAATGTGGACACCAGAAATAAAGCCACTCAGGGAATTTACAGCCAACTGTTTGTCCCTTTTTCCAAAATCCTTGAGATTCTCTTATTTCCATGCTATGGGTTCTCCAGTCCATAGAAGACTTTCTTGCTCCTAGAAACGATGACTGCTGATGTAATTTGCTCCAGGTGAGCCAGAAGTGCTCCCAGGCAAGTAACCTAGCACCAAAAAAATGGGTGGACCTTTGCCCCGATCAGTGTAACTGTTCTTAGACTTTTTTTTTTGCCCACTTGTAGGAGCTATTTCAAATCATTAGTGTTTTGGAACCAGGACCTTTGTGTGTTTTACATTCTAGGAGAACTCGAGCTGTTTGGGGTGGTCCAAAATCGCTATAGACTGTAACTGAGCCTGTTCATTCTTACAGAGGAAACTGAGGCTTCTGCCACCCTTCAGAAGTGATCTCAGTGATCAAAGAGGTGTTTTGGTTCTGGCATCGGTCTTAGGAGGTAGCACAGGTGGATTGGCCAGACTGGAGAACAGAGTTCAGGAACCACTTACACTTCTCTAACGAGCTTGGGAAGCTACCCTGGTTTGTACAGGGAATGATGCTGTCTGTGAGGATTTTCTAAACCTGTCTAGTGCTGCTTCTACGACTCAATTGTTGCTTTGTTGTTCGGGGTTTTTTTCCCCTGCAATATATTTATGTTTATCAAAGGGATAGTGGATGACCACTCCTCTCCCCACTATAAAGGAAATTTTCCAGGTGTTGCCTTGGTGAACCTATTTCTGTTGAAACCCACTCATCCCCTTTTGGTCCCCTTTCCAATCCTGTCCCTGTTATTAATCACAGTTATCTTCTGCTGACTATAAGCAAACTGGAGGCCAGATTTGGGATACTGTGTGTTGACAATATTAGGCATTTTTTTCTGTTGCACCAACCAGCCTCCAAGATATTTATCCTTGCAATTATCTGCCGGGTAGGCAACAGCTATTCCCTGGTTTTAAGACAGGGAGGAGAAGCTACGGTATGGGAAGCTTCAGTAGGTCAGGGCTTGAACTCACATCTTCTAAATCTGGGGTAATTGTGCCTCCTCTCTGTTCTATCTTTAAAAAATAAAGCACACACGTTAGTTCTGAGGCTCGCTTTCATCTGCACCGTTCTGCCTTCAGAAATCCTCACTCCTCCTCGCCGCACTGCGGTCGCCCTCCAAGAATTGCACAAAGGCTGTCGCTTCGGCTTGCCATCATCAAACATTGAGGAGAAATAAGAACAATTACAAGTTTAATATTAAAAGAAGCAATTTCATTTCCTTTCTGGAGTCGGTGTCATTTTTTAATGCTACCTGAAGAAGCAGAATCCCTTGTGCCTGGTGAACGGGGTGTGTTTACATTGACTCGGGTCTCAGCCCCAGCATGCGATAGGTGGGAAAGGGGCCACTTGGGCCGCTGGTGGGTCCTGGGAGCCCCCCACGCCCCGCGGGCGGGCCCTGCGCTGTGGCTGCGTGATGCGCTCTTTTATTTCTAATTCACCTGCCCAACCGGGCCGTTGTCTTTTAATTAAACTGCAGGAAGGCAAGAAGAGCCGCTAAAGGCCGCCGGCTGTGCAGGGGCCGCTGCCCGGGCCGGGCCGGACGCGGTGCCAGCCCCCCCTCCGGCCCTGGCGCTGTCCCCGGTGCGGCCCCCGCGCCGCCCCCGCCCCTGCCCGGCCCGGCCGCTCCGGGCCCGCCCTGCGGCGCGCGCCGGCGGCGGGGCGGCAGCGCCCCCTGCTGTGCTGCGGCAGCGCCGCACGGACCCGGCCCGGCCCCGCCCGGGGTCCCCCCGCGGCCCCGGCCCCGCACCCCGAGTGCCCCCGCGGCCCCGGCCCCCCACCCGTGGTCCCACCGCGCCGGGCACCGGGTGGGACGCGCCCCCGTGCCCGTGCGCGTACCCTGTGCGGCCGTAGCGGTGGTGGAAACACGGCACAGCCACGGCGGTGCGTGCGGTGACAGCGGGGCAGGGACAGGGACAGGGACGGGACGGGAGCAGGAACAAGGACAGGAACAGGGAAGGGGAAGGAGCAGGGACAGGGCAGGAGCAGGGACAGGGGCAGGTGCCCGTTGCCGTGGTCACCGCTATGGGGGTGTTGGTGGCGGTGGGGTCGGGCAGCGGAGGTACTGCTGAGCCGCAGCCGTGCTGGTACTGCCTGGCAGGGGCTGTCTGTCACCTGGGGAGCTCCTCAGTGGGGCCGGGGGACTGTGGCCGATAGAACTGCTGCCTGATAGAGCTGCATCTCTGTGGGCTGGGCAGCAGCAACGCAGGGATGAGCTGCAAGCAGGAGCCACCGAGGCCCTGCATCAGATGAGGCTCCACAAGGTGTGAAGGGCAGTTGTGTGCTCTGACATTTCAGGTGACCCCTCCGTGCTCACCCTTCACCTTCCCAGAGCTCCCAGCTGGGATGTGGCCCTGGCTCCCAATCTGGGCTGGAGGGGAATGTCCCCTCCCGCTGCCACAGCACGCGAAGAGGCTGCTGGCTGTGCAGGGGAGAAAAAACCTGTAAGGAAGAAAAACCTTCTACAAATTGGGAAGAGCATTCTGCTTTGACAGAATAAAAATAAAACCTGGAATGGGAAAGGAAAGGCATGAAAGAGTTAGTGACAAAGTATCATGTACAGCTGGGGAGATGATGGGTTTATTGGTATTGCAGAGGGGGAGGGAGAAGCTGAGAGGCAGTGAAAACACAATTTGGCCTAAAATTGAATTTCTCTGATAAGGAATTTCAGAAGCGGCTGCCTCATTCACTGTGCGGCCAAATAATCATATGCGCTTTAATAATCTTTATTTTACAGGAGTACGTTGCCAGGGCAACAGAGTGTAAGCAGGAGCACAGCACCTTGCAGATCACAAAGGCAAAGCTGCAGAAAGAAATTTCAGCGAGTTTCTCTCTCCCTTTTGCAATGTAATGACGACTTATTTTTCATGCACTGATTTAATAATCTTATTGAAAGATCCTTTCCCTGTTTCTCTTATTCTTGTCTGTCTGGGCGCGGACAATGGTAAAAACCTGGAATTGTCAAGCCCACTGGGCTCAGCAAACTAACAGATGTAATATGTTTAGCATTTTTATGTAATTACTTTTTATTGCTATTTTACCCCTACTTCTATTCCTCCCCGGTTAGATGCTGCTTCCCTTCCATTCCGGCCCAATCAGGGGATGGAGAGGGGCTGGGGGAGAGTTGGTAATTGACGGCATTAATCGGGAATTATTAGTGGGACGTGTTTTCAGGGGTGGGGGTTGGGTGCAGAAAGAGACCTTTTAGGAAGGGTGAATTGAATTATGGGCGATGCAATAATGAAGCCTCTGGGCTGTGAGCTGCAGAGGACACTCATCCTCACAGAGCTCTGAGTGTTATTTGTCATGGGCTCTGCTCTGTGGGTGAAAAACAGTGCGTTGCCCTACTGACATCCTCTGGGTGGGGGAGGTCTCAACTAGCTGGGCTGAAAATGAAAGAAAAGCTGATTTGGGATGATTAAAAATGGAAACTTCTGGAGATCTTCGATGTTGGTTAGACAGGGAGCAGGAACGCTGCTACCAAACCCTCGGCAGGGCGCGGTTTGTGACCAGTCTGTCTCTTGTAAACATTTTGCCTCTTGTTCTTTCCCAAGGGCCAGGGCCGGGGAAGGAAGCGTGGGAAAAGCAATCTTTGCAGGCTGCAGAACTGGAGGTGGGGGAAGGCTCTGTGAGATGAAGTACAAACCCCGGGTTGTCTCACAGCGGCTGAAGAATTCCAAGAAGTTAGGAACAAAGGCTGTCACCTGAGCTCAGCAATGCTGGGGCACTGTGTGTGGCAGGTCTTGGGCTGGCACAAGGAAGCAGCAGAGTGTGTGGGTTTGGAGGGCTGACAGGGCAAGGCTGAGGGAAAGGGCACTGGGATGGGGGTTTGCAGCCTCAGCTGAGAATGTCACAGTTTTGTGGTGTGAATTCAGGCTCACTGATGTTGCTGACATGAAACCTTGCTTGAGGGTGCCAGTTCTTTAAAGCACAGCACATAGATTTACATGTTCTGCATTTTGCAAAATAATTACATAAAATAATATAGAATAATATATATAAAATTATATATTTTCTATATGTAAATAATATATGAAAGCCAAGCAGCGTTCTCCCTACAGAATTGCCTTATGCCAAACATTACTGGTTTTCTCTGAGTCAGCATCCCCCAAGTCACTGTGAATGTGAGCTGTTCCTTGAACCAGGGTTTCACAAAACAGCAAAAACTGCTTTGAGGCACATGGCAGAAATGGCTGGGAGCTGGATTCAGGAGTGGGAGGTGGTTCTGCAGAAAGCAACAGGGACCAAACCCTTGGACCAGGTGTGGGGACAGTTGCCTGAAAGAGAGGAGAAAATTCTGCTTGGAGACCTGGATATGAGGCACATAACTCATGGATTTCCTGTGTCTCCAGGTTCAGAATGTTTCCAGTCCTGTGGAAGCTTTAATATCAATGTGGTGCTTGGAGTCTCATTATCTCTGGTGTCTAACCATTGTACAGACAAAACCCAGAGTTCTGAGGCTCAGTTACAATTCTGTTGTTTTCTTAAAAACCAGATAAGCATTTACACCTGAGACATCAGAGTCCAGGGAGTGAAGAGCAGCCTGGCTGCAGGGACAAGGGCATGTTCAGAGTGAGGGGAGCAATTAATGCATTGATATGTTCAGTTTATTAAAATTTGTTTATAAATCAAGTGTAAGGATATTGTACTGTCACTAACAACTTCAGCTTGGCTTTTAGAATATTTACAGTGCTAATCCTAGACAGCATGGGGTCAGAAAATGCTGTAGTATAAAAATGACTCAAGATTCTCCAACAGAATAAGGTGCATTAAATATATATAATATAGAATGCTATAATATACCCTCTATATAACATTATATATATATAAGTATATATATATAAGTATATATAATTATTCATAGTTTTGAATGTGTATGTAGATCAAGTAGTTTAGGAACAATGTTTTAACATTGTAATAAGAAGGAAAAATAACACCTTTTTTTTCTAAGCAAACATATCCCAGGTTTCACCTTCCTGCTACTAACCAAAGGAATTGGCAGTGATATAACTACTGCTAAATGTTTTATCTGGTTAGAAAACTCAGTGTCAGCAGTGCCTGGTGATGAACTATCCTGTTGTTCCTAATCTGGAGACATGCAGGATTTTCTACAGCCATTTTTATAATTGTCCCTTTTTTTCATGGCCAGATCTGATTACTAAAACAAATATTAACTAGGCCATATTTTTGTTATTAAAAAAAGGCTTTTCATAAAGCAAGGCATGATTATTTACAAAAACATTTCTACTGAGTGTAAAAGCAGATAAGCATCGTTCAAGTTGTACACCTAAAGCTTTTCTATGGCATGTAGGGTCAGGAGAGGGGATAAAGGCAAAAACCTGGCTGTAAGATTCCAACACCATTTGTCTTTTTTCCTACAAACCTGGAATCTGCTTCATCTTGGAATATTTTTTTAAGAATAATATTGTTTCTTTGTGCTCCCATAATATGACAAATATTTGGAAATCAGTTTATGCAGAAGAGGGTTGTTTTATTCTATAGCTGTATTTAGAGGAACTATGGAGTAAAGCCCTTCTCTGCTTCTACCTTTATGTTTAGCAGAGAAACCAGAAATGAAGGAGCAGCTTGTTGCTTTGACAGTGTTTGAGGAAAAACCTCCCTTTCCCATGGCTTCAGAGAGTTGGAGACAAGGTCACGCTGGTCTGAGGAAAGCCAAATAGCTTCTGGAAATCCCAAATCAGACTGACACTGCAAGATCTGTCCATCATTTAAATTTAGATGAAGTCACCTTCCACGTTACTTTCACTGATGTTTAGGACTCTTTCTTTTTATTTTGTATTGGCTGGCTTCTATGAAATCCAACAGCTCTCCTCCTCTAAGCTCTAGCCAAGGAAATCTCCACAGATTTTGTCCTCTGCGCAGAACCTCATTTCATAGAGACTGAACATTGATTCAGATAAAATATGTAGATACAGAATCTCCCTAGAGCAGTCTTGTAAGGAGCCTGCAGGAAGGCAGTTGACTGCAACCAGACTGGGCCACAGAAAGAACCCTGGGACAAGGTGAACTGCCAACTGCCAGACACTGGACAATATTTCTATTTTTTGTTGGCTTAGGAGACTGCATTTTTGGCTCCTTAAAGCAATTCTGAACAAGAAACTATTTTGCTGGATCTTCCTGTACAATTTTTAATTTTTTTTTCGTGTTTTAATCATAATAAATTTTAAAACGTAGAAAATCAAAAGGATTGTTATCTATTCTTTGTAAGACTCGATGGGAAGCCCAAAGTTGAAGCAAGGTGGCAGAACCTGTACTTGCTTCAGGTGAAAGCAGGGTTATCGCCATCACAATATAGAAGAGGTTTGTCTTTGTACCCATTTTCCTATTCTCCTTAGGAATAAGGATAAAAATTTTGGTAAGAAATTGAAGTCCAGCAGCTTAAATACCCACATATTTCCAGCACAAAATCTGGGCAATTTGCTTTCCCCTTCCTGCTAGTTTGTATCCTGCTGCCTTTTGAAATGGAAACTCTTCTGACCCTGTAACCCCCGTGTTACTCGGAATAAAACTCTTTTTAATTGTGTTTTGGAGGAGCATGCAGGGAGCTCCAACACTACTAATCAGCTTTGCTGGTCTGGGTCTGTATCGCCAGGATTCATGTCGGCAGAATAACTTGATATAATTGCGGCTCTGCATCGCTGATTTAATGCTGAAGAACTTTAAAGGTGCAGGTCTCCATTTCTGTCTGTGTGTCAGTACAGTGGGAGAGCAGCTCCTGGGCACTCCTGGCCACCTGGGGCCTCGCAGGAGGACGTGGGCAGGCCCTGCTGCTCTTTGGGGTGCGTGGAGGGGATCCCTCAGTGTCAGAGGGAGTGACTGCCCGCTGGGCAGGGCTTGGTGGGCACAGCATTAACACAGTGACACAGGCTTTGGAAGAGACCTTTTGCAGCTGTTTGTTTACAATGTATCACGTGGAAATGCAGGTCAGCTTTAGTGCCTGGCACCTTTTTACATAATTTAAAACCAAAAAACCCAAAACCCTTCTAGCTAGAGTTTGAGTTTTGTACTGGCCAGAAGTGGGTCTGGATGGGTTTAAAGCAGACCTGTCATTAAGCTGTTTGACAGCATCTACAGCTTTGGTTTGAAGAACAGAACAGCTGCCTTACAGTGCCAGAACTTCAATGCTGGATAACACTGAAATATCCTCCTTGACATTAGGAAGGTGGAAGTGGATCAGTGTAAACTCCTGCCCTGCAGAAGCTCTCCCTTGGGCCAACCCTCACCCGTTCTACCCCCATTCCTTACACTGTTTGCCTTCTCACCTTCCTCAGAAAACACAAACACTGCTTCAGGTTTTTGTATTTTGATATAACTGTGTTTAGCACTGAGTCTTGCCCCAGACACAGTCTGTCCTAATTTGTTCATAGCTCTGCTAATGTGCCTCTGTTTGGCCTTCAGCATTCCAGGAGTAGGAATGCCACTTAACCTGAGTCCTGGCTCCCTGATCCTGTTTGATCAGGAACAGTGATGCAGTAACTGCCTCAGACAAATGACTGTACTGAGAACACTCCCAATTGCCCTGTAATAAACCCACCATCCTCCCTGAAAGCCACGATGAGGATAGAGAGGGCAACAATGATTGGAAGGTCAACAAGTTTGAGCACTGACAGAATAAAAGAAAAAATTATAATGCTGAGGCCATGATGCTGAGACTGTCCTGGGTCTAATTCCTGGCGTGGCTGGAGCCCAGGTGTCTCAGCACAAGTGCCCCATTGCCCTGGTCCCACAGGAGAGGATGCAGGATCCCAGCATCCCTTCAGCCTCTGTGTGGCTGAGCACTCACAGGCTCAACTCGAGTGCAGGAGGTCAGTCATGGAAAGAGATCAGAATTCACCAACTGTCACAGAGCAAGGCATTTGATGGGGGAAGGAGCTCTGTGCTGTGCCATTGACATTTCCAGTGTCTGGCCTCCTTGTCTTGGCCGAACATATCTGGTATGGCTCCCATCAGCACTAGTAGGAGAGTACACCTGGCTCCTGCTGGGCTTGAGTCAGAATTTGGCTCTTAATAAGGTGCAAGGAGAAACTTTCCAGTGTGCTCACAATGAGGTAGGAAAATGAAAACATTTTACAACTGATGTTTTCTGTCATCTTGTCTGTTTGTTCCAAAAGGCACAATCTGGCAGAGCTGCCTCTGGGCCTCGTCCCACTGACCCAGAGCTGGGAGAATGATCTGTTAGAAGAAACCAACTTGTTTGATTTGTTTTGGCTAAACCTCTTCTTTGCTGGGGTAAAAAACCCCAAACTTTGTGGAGCTTTTGTCATCCTACAGTTTGCTGACCCCACGCTCTTTCTAAGTGACCAGTATTTTAAAAGGCCAATTACCTTTTGGATTTAAGACCATTCAAATTCTGATACTTTTAGTTGTGTAGTTGTTTATTTTTTTTCTACTGTAAACCAACAAATCAATCTGTGTGTTCATACACAATAGTCCTGTGTTTCCTGTATGTTTCCAAGACCTGAAGTCCAAACAAACACTGAGATCCTGGATGGATGTCCCAGAGAAACAGCCTACATGGGCTTTGAAGGATTTAATTAATGCCATTAAACCTTTGGTGTTTGTTTGTTTGTTTGTTTTTTTAACATGGGTAGGTCACTTAAAAACTTGATCTGTTTTGTTTTATTACCACAAAGCATGCAAGAAACACTGTCATCATCTCTAAATGTGAGGTGTTTGCCCAGATGAGTTTCAGACAACCTGCTGTACAAACTGCACTTTGGGAAGTTCCATGGGGGAAAAAGTGCCTGCAAAGAAAAGGTTGGAGTGATCAGAGCTCCTCCAGCAGGAACTGGGGAAACCTGTGCAAGACTGGGTTGGGTAGAGCTTAGACCTGGCACACCAGCAGCCCCTTTCAGCTGGAAGGGAGCACATCCACACTTTCGTTTGCACATGCAGAGACCAATTTACTTCTGTAGATGAATATCCAAATCTGGGTGATTGTAACAGAGAAATGAGACCCCTTGTTATTGTCATGTTCTTACCACAAAAGTGACAACCCAGGATGTGATTTCCTGACCATGGTTGAAACCGTGTTCCTGTGGCATTGCTCTTAAGAAATCTTTTCTGAATCATTTTCATTCTAAGGTGTTCTGCAAACCTTTCTGACTCCTCTTTAAATGTGCCCACAGATAACTCACTGTTCCTTGCCAGATGATTCCCCCTGCAAGCAGATCTCTTTTGGAGCAGGATAGAAGCAATTATGTTCTGAAGTCACAGAATCACAGTCTGGGTTGGGTTGGAAGGGACATTTATAGATTATCTAGTCCAGTCCCTCTGCCATGGGCAGGGACATGTTCCAGTAGACCAGGCTGCTCCAAGCCCCATCCAACCTGGCCATGGATACTTCCAGGGATGGGGCAGCCACAGTTTTTCTAGGCAACCTGCGCCGGGCCTCACCACCACATTTAGTCTGCTCAAAAGCTTCAGAGTTATTCTGGTAATTCCATATACTTTTCCATCAGATGCAATCGAAGGAGAGAGAGTAGCTGCCAGAAATTGTGACTACATGGTGTGAAAACCCTCCAGGACAGTTGGAAAGCAACATGTCACA